TAAAGTTTCTTTTTATTGGAGTTCAGTTTGCCAACATATAGCATAACACCCAGTGCTCATCCCATCTAATCCTTTATCAATAGAGGGCAATCTTCATTCAGGGTGACTTCTTCTTTTATATATATATATAAATTTATATTTTTTATTGGTGTTCAATTTGCCAACATATAGAATAACACCCAGTGCTCATCCTGTCAAGTGCCCCCCTCAGTGCCTGCCACCCAGTCACCCCCACCCCCAGCCCTCCTCCCCTTCCACCACCCCTAGTTCGTTGCCCAGAGTTAGGAGTCTTCCATGTTCTGTCTCCCTTTCTGATATTTCCTACCCATTTCTTCTCCCTTCCCCTCTATTCCCTTTTACTATTATTTATATTCCCCAAATGAATGAGACCATACAATGTTTGTCCTTCTCCAATTGACTTATTTCCCAGATTTTATGAAGATCCTTGAACACCAACCCAATGCCCATCCAACAACCAATGACCTAATTCTACTCTTCTCTTTCTTTTCCCTTCTTCCATTTTCAGTTACATTATTTATATAAAGAATTCTTGCCTATCAATATTGAAAAGCCAATCAGCAAAGGAGTAAGTTGTTTTAAAAATAAGAATAGACAACTACAGGAGAAAAACAACTGCTATGTGGCCCAACACAAAAACTACAGAAGCTCAAATCCACTTGTCATCAGAAAGGTATACGTTAAAATGGCATGATTCTTTTGCCTGGCAGTGGCAAAACATTAAAGCCTTGCATATGTTGTATATTGAAGGAAATGAGAGGGAAATGATGCTTCTATACATTTCTGTTGGGAGTCTACATTGGTCTGACCACTTTTTAATCTGGTAGTCTTATATTCACCAATTCTACTTTGTAGGATACATTTGTGGAGCAACTCCTCCAGGAGACACACATAGGGATATTATTTGAAGTCCTTTTTGCCAGAAGCAAAAAATTGGAAATGCTCTAAGTCTTCAATAGAAAGTCTACAGAGAAATGCAATTATATATGCTCATGATAAATTATCACCATCAATTAAAAGGTATAAACTGGAGGTAGAGTGTAAGTTGCACACTTGCTGTGTTAGTATTAATGCTTTTTAAGCCTCAACAACTTCATCTTCACTTAAAAAGATCACAGTGTTCCTTTCTTTAAAAAAATGACATTAGGGGCACCTGGGTAGTTCAGTTGGTTAAGGGGCTAACTCTTGTTTCAACTCAGGTCATGATCTCAGGGTTGTGAGATGGAGCTCCGAGTCAGCCTCCTGGCAGAGTCTGTTTGAGACTCTCTCTCCCTCTCCCTCTGCCCCCCCCCATGCTCTCTGAATAAATGAATGAACGAATGAATAAATAAATAAAATCTTTTTAAAAATGACATTAATTAGAGCACTTATCTCGTGGTTTCATTGTGAGAAATAAATATGGAAATGTGTGGAAAGTGATTTTAAATCCCTGGCACATGGAAAATGTTCTGAGCTGGTGTAATCTAGAAACAAAAAATTTGTAATTCTGAATAAAAGAGCAAGGTAGGGATTATATTACTATATATATATTTATATTATATATTATATATTATAAATATACATATATTATTTACATAAATCATATAAATATAATTATAAATACATTATATTTATATATATAAATGAAATGTATATATAGTATTTATGAATCCGGTGTAAGTGAATAGATTTTTAAAAGAAAAGTTTAAAAGAAGAAAACTACATACCAAAATCTGAATAGGGATTGTGTATACTGAGGATGGGAGGAGAATGGAAATAGGAATGGGCATTTAAAAGGATTTTAAGTTCTACCTAATGCCTCTTAATTTAAAGGAAAAAAGTGTGGAAGCAGATATAACAACTTGCTGGCAGTGTATACTCCGGGAGGCAGAATATAAATTGAACTAATACATAATTTTTTTAAAAAATCAGAAAGAAAGAAATCCAGCACCATGTAAGGTGAATACTTTACCTTATTTATCCTGTGTGCTCTTGGCTGGCCTTAGGGTGGAACTTGGCAGCATTAATAGAGATTAAGCAGTGAGTGGATGGATGCCTATTCACCACTGACCACATGGTCCTAGGTGTCCCCAGATCAGAGGTTCACCCCACAATGTGCCATCATTGGTTATGAAAGGCATCTCAACAAATGTGTTGTTAATGATTGTTAAATAGACACATGATTTAGTTAAGAAAATGAATTAGAGGGCTGCCTGGGTGGCTCAGTTTAAGACGTTAAGCCTCTGCCTCTGGCTCAGGTCATGATCTCGGGGTCCTGGAATAGATCTCCACTCTGGGCTCTCTGCTCAGTGGGGAGTCTGCTTCTCCCTTGCCCTCTGCTGCTCCCTCCTCCTGCTCATGCTCTTTCCCCCTCCTCCTCCCTCTTCCTCTTTTTCTCTCTCTGTCTCTTGCTCTCGCTCTCACTCTGCACTGTCTCTCAAATAGACATATAACATATCTTAAAAAATAAGAAAATGAATTAGTAATAAATCACAGCAATTCTGCGGGGTAGGCAGGAGACCTTTCCATCAGACAAAAAGCTCAATTATCCCCACTATTGTCGGCTCCATTGCTAATTCCTGCCTCTGTAGTATCTAGCACTTGGAGCCTGCAGCCCTGTGTCATCCTGCAAAACGGATGGATACCTCTTTGGCTTGTTTTCTGAATTCTATTCACTGCTTTTTTAGTGACCGCTCCTAACCACCCCTTTCTATCTTTTGTAAAGAGATTGAAACCACTCAGAATGTGATGGCCTCCTACTTCCCTTCCTCTATGTTATAGCTTTCTACATTTTTCATACATTTTCTATCATTTTGAGGGATGTTTGGGAAGGCAAGGAAAAAAGATTAGTTCAATTTATTTAAAAAAACTTCAAATTTATTTTATGTGAGTGTATTGGTTAATTTTATGTGTCAACTTGACTGACCACAGGGTGCCCAGGTATTTGGCGAAACATGATTCTCGGTGTGTCTGTGAGGGTGGTTTTGGATGAAATTAACATTTGAACCAGTAGACAGAGTCAACCCCTTGGTCTCCCCAAAGCGGGTGGGTCTCATCCAATCCACTTAAGGCCCGAATAGGACAAAAAGCTACGGAAGGGAGAATTCATTCTCTTTCTGCTTATCTTCACTGGGCCATGGGTCTTCTCCTGCCTTCAGACTTGGACTCAGCTTGGAACTTACACTGTAGGTTCTGCTACTCCAACCTTATGAAGGTTTTGAAAACAAATAGATGCCAGATTCATTTTTATTTCTATTGCATCTTACATCCTTCGCCTGTTGGGCTCTAGTCTGCCTTTTAGTATGATTGAGATAGTTTTGATTCTTGAGTAGTCCATCCATTCGTCACACAAACTCTTCTGAATCAGTCAGAAACCCGCTTTGATGCTTTGACCTTCAGCCCTGGCCAAGACATCACCCTGCTTTGCTCTACATTAATTAATTAATTTATTTTTTTTACTTTATTCTCTACTTGAGGATCCTTAAATATCAAACTGTAATTTAGGCTCTTGCCCCACGGAGTCTCCTCTGCTAGTTTTATATCTCCAGTCTAAGACTCAGTGGTCAACAATAGTGTTCATATCTCTATGAACATTAAGTGTTGCATCACTCAGATTAGTTGATCAGCTGGCGTTTATGCAGTCGGCAATCAGCAGAATTTGGACAGTTGCATTTAGCTCAAGCATTATTTGTAAATGTCTATGTGCTAATGTTGTGTTAAGTGCTGGGGTTGCAGAGGTGATTATGACAGGTTTCTTTGTTAATAAAATACATGGTAGAGAGGTGTGGTCTTCGAACTTTTTTGATTATAAATTATAGTAAGAAATATAGTTTACTTAATGATGTTGTTCACATGCCCATATGGATAATTAAAACAAAAATCTCAGAAAAGTATTTAGCTTTATTCATGCAATGTGCTTACATGTCTATTATAACCTATTCATTTAATTTAAAACATTAGATCATAATACAGTACACTGACTTTACAAGCCAGTAACGAGCCCTAACCAACAGTGTAAAACAAATAATTTTAGACAATGAGGAACATTATGAGAACCGTCTTTAATTCTATATTTAGAGCTTTTCTTACAGATGATGTAATTGCTGTTTATTTTTAGCTTAGACTCATGCCTACCCTTCAGGCATCTGTATTTACATATTAATTTATCAAGCTCTTGGGTCCTGATAGGATGAAACACAAATAAGGTAGCTTTTGGATGGGAATAATCCTGGAGTGATTAGAGACAGGCAAAGGTCAGGCAAAGGCCAGGCAAGACTGACCAAGGGAGGTGGGGGCAGGGTCCAAGGAATTACCTGATGTTGTTATCAAAGTAAAGAATAATCAGAAGGCCAATTATAGAATTAGGGGAACTTGGGGGGCAATATCTAGTAGATAGAATGGTGTAGCATATTTTGTCTCTTATATCACTAAGTTCAGGGCTTATTTCCTCCCCCCGATCTTCCCTGGTGGCCCTTGAAAGCTCACACATCTTGGGCCTGCCTCCATTGCTCACTTACATTGTATTGATAGGATGTTCTGGGGTCTTGAGAGCAGGCAGTGCCTTTCTCTGAATTCCTAGCATCCAGCTAAGTGCCTGGCAGCCTGGCACAAGTAGATACTCAGTCCACATCTCAGCTTTTCCAAATCTCCCCTCCTCCACTGTGGCACAGTTAGGCTAACTGATCCCTGGGGCTCTTGCAGTCCTAACAGGCTAGGATTGTGATGGATCTGGGGTAGCCCGAGGCACTCTGCTCTGTGGCTGGCTCACACTTACCCATTAAAACATGAATGGCCTGTGCTGGGTTTGAGGGCCCTGCCCTGCCCCAGCAGAATAGTGTCCTCACTGGAGCAGTGGGAAGCCTAGAGCTGCAGAGACAGGATCCCAGCCTCCAGCTCCTACAGTTGCTGCTGCTCCCCAGCCAGCGATTTCCTCTAAGGTCTGGATTGGTCCAGGAGCGACAGAGGGCTGGCAGAGAGCCTCTATATATTCCTCAGAGGGAGAGGCAGACTCAGACAGTTGTGAAGTTTTCAAAGTCTCGCTCTGCCGTTCAGAATTTGTGCTCAAAACTGAGGAGCTAAGCCACTTGCCAAAATGTGCAAAGGACTTGCAGCTTTGCCCCATTCATGCCTGGAAAGGTGAGAACCAAATTGTTTGGGTTTAAGAGATGGAGATACGCAAAATCTCTGCTCAGGGGGAGGATATCCAGGGGCAACAGAAAGCCTTTGTTGTTTGTTCTGCAACAGGTGTAGGATTGTAGACTGGGGTTTGCCTCCTCTCTGCCAACGGTACAGAGGCTTGTGTGGCCTGAGCTGTACGACACAGATCCACCATGGGGTAGCTTATGCACCATTTCATATCCAGAGCTTCATTTCCTCCAAGGAGATGCCTATTGGCGTAGGTGCTTGCTCAGAGTCAAAAGTGCATGGTTAGGAGAATGGATTCCAACATCACACTGCCTGCCTTTGAACCGTGACTCCTAGACTCTTTTGTGGACTTGGGCAATGTATTTACTCTTTCTGTATTTTGATTTCCTTCTCTGTGAAACGGAGATGCCAAGAGCATCTACCTCACGTACTGATTATTAGGACTGAATGAGCTACTGTATTTTAAACACTCAGCACACTGTCTGGCACATATTAAAACTGTCTAAATGTTAACCTTTGTTAATTGATGTGTGTGGACTGAGAGAGGGGAGCAGGTTTGTGACAAGGAGGAGGGGATTTCTCATTGTTCTTTGTATCTTGATCCCATTAGATGGAAGTATCTGGATTGCTTGAGGGAAGAAAGACATTGGGACACAGAAGTTATTTATTAGCTAGGATTCTTTTTTTAGATAAATAGAAAAACACCATTGAGATTCTCTGGTAATCCTTAAACTGGCCTGAATTCTGGAGGGAATCCTAAGCATCTAGGCTGACAATCCAACAACCCTACTTGACACGGGAAGTAGTAAAGATGTTTATCCTCCTCTTATTTCTCAAGAATAGATTTGATTACATTTGGGTCGAGTTTTCAGTATTTAAAAGTAATGAAGCCGAATTTCTTGCAACCCAACTCTATCCATAGAGGCACCAGCAGTGTTTGCCTAAGACGATTTTGTTCAGTGGGTTATTTATGATTTATCTCATCTCTTACAAGCTCAGGTCTGACTCCTATTACTGCTTTATATCTGACATGTGAACATGAATATTAATATTGAATCACTTTTTGTGTCGTTGAGTGCACAGTAAAATCTTATGCTCCATGATATAACTAATGTTCATGTGGGATATTTTAGGGTGGCCAAGGAGCAAGCATTTTTTCCTAGATTGCCTAAACCTTTTAATTTACTGGCATGTGGTAGACTCTTGCAATTTCTGTTTCCTATTCATTTTTTTTCACATTCTATTTCCATTGCAAATAGAATCCTATTTCCAATGACAATGCTGGCTGACAGGGGTGTTTTGGAGAAATGGAATTGTGGAACTGTTGAACTGTTAGCACACATTCATGGAAAAATCTGAGAGTATCCTGAAGCATAGGATGAATTTGGATGAATGAATGCATCCAAAACCACCATCCCTGCTCTTCTGTTTGTTTCATTTCCCTCGTCCTCAGACGCCCCCGCTTTCTACTTCTCTCCACGCTGCAAGAGGAACGTGGATGGGCCTCAATGCTTAGATAAGATGTTTGAAGACTCCTATAAAATAAATCAGGATGACATAGATGCTTACAAAATGAATCTGGTTATAATGGAAAGTCCTACTGAAGAGTTACATTGCACCTTCTGTTTGCATAGGAATAAAATTCAGTTTACAGAAACCAGATTAACATGTGATTGATCACAGGGGAAAGAGGACTTGCAAAAGAGTGAAAAGCAGACTCAGTTTTGTCATTATCTAAATTTGCACCCTTGAGCAAGTTCTTTCACTCCCCCAGGATTCTATATTCTCATTTAACCAGTGAGAGTTGGAGTTACTGTCCTCTAACATCTTTTTCCATGCTGACATAGTTTAAATATTTTTAAACCACAATTTATGTCTGCGGCCAACCAGAGATGCAATTAAAGGGAAATTTATCCTAATTAATTTCTCTCTAAAAGTTTGTGAGCAGAAAAGAGTCAATTAATGAAAAATCATCCAGAACCTAACGCTGTGCTGAAATCATGGCAGCGGCAGAAGCACCTACTCAGAGATTCTAATTCTGATTTACAAGAAAGTAAGATTTACTCCATGTTCCAGGAGATTTAATCCTAGAAAATATTCCTTGTTTAATGTGTAGGGAAGCATTATGCCAGAGTCATCTATGATATATTCGTAGAAACTATTTTTCTTTCTTTAGATCTTTAAGACTATTGCTTATTAAAACCCAAAGTTGACCTCACATATTTTTATATATTTAGAGAGACCAGTAATCCAAATATATGAGCAACAAATGGCCACCACCCCAAACTTCTGCCTTGTGGCATATTGAAACCAGTGCCGTGTGGGTAGCAATATGACAGTTGGTGGAAAAATGAAAAAGTTGAGTCAATTAAAAAAAAAAAAAAGGTTGAGTCAGTTCAAGTTCTTATTTTTTCACCCATGATTTTCAACTTGGGTTTTAGGCTTCTTTTGAAAATCCATTTTATTTCTAGAGTCTTTTGAATTTCTCTGAAAGACTGTAAGTTTTAAAGTAAACACTGCTCTTTGGAAAATGACAAAAATACTCTAAAATTAAAGTGTTTTTGTGATGATTTCCAAAAAAGTTGTTAGCATAATATAAGGAAGCCAGCGTGATTATTAAGATTGTTCTCCTTCAGTACTGACCAGTCCTGTCGCCAAGTTCAGTCTCTACTAACCTGAAAAGGAGAGTAGGGAAGTAATGAAAACTTAGCTTCTGACAGAGAGTTTTCCCTGGGATATTTATAAAGTGTCACAAACCTTATACCTCTGTCAGCATCTGCCGTAGCTCTGACTTCTGTTTATGATTATAAAGGCTGCTGGTGGTGAAATGTTTTCAATCTACAGTTCACACGGGAGCTCCTGGTCATCTCAAGTTTGTGACAATGTTGGGAATTTCAGGACCTGTAGAAAGTTAATGAGGAAAGTGACTTTCTGGTTCTTTAAGTTTATTATTATTTTTACTGAATAGATTCCATTTTTTTCTCCTCTCCTGATTTATAGATGGGTCTAAGTGTGAGAAATTTAGAGTAGAAAGTCGCCTAATAAGCAAGGCCACTAGTCAACTAATTCTTTAAGGGCAGTAAGCCACATGGAAGCACCTTGCTTAGTAGGCTAAGTCTCCTGGGTCTGAGGATTAAATAAATACTGCTTTTGCAAGGATATGAACACATCCTTGGGCCAACTATGGAGAATAATTTGCCAATGAACTTGAACAAGTCATAGCTCAGTCAGAGTAGATAAAACACCATCAAAGAAGCCTACAGAGATAGTGAGAGTGCCTCTAGTTGACCTTAGGATCATACTTTCTGGGAATAAGTATGAATCTGAAGCTTGCTGTGGCTCATAGAAAGTCTCGAGATATAATCACCAGTATTTCAGTGAAACTTTATAATGTTAAGAAAGTAAAGGAACTGTTTAATAAAGTTGAGATGTGGTGAGTCACTTTTGTTTTGGTTTTTATTGCTGACACAATATTGATTATTTCTCTGGATTGCTTTTCAAACTCCATACTTGCCTTAGGCATGAGGATGAATGACACAGACCCTGCTCTCAAGGAAACTGCAGTCCAGTTAGGGAGACAAATAATAAGAAATGAGTCTATGGTGTTGAGATCCTCTATGAAGGAATAAATGATGGAGTGCAAAGAAGTACAAGACTGGGAGGAGGTGGTGGGGAGCTCAGAGAGCTTTTGGGTCAGGGAAACTTTGCAAGAAGTTATAAGAAATGATACTTAACCCAGGCTCATGAATGAAGCCTTGGGAAGTAAGGGGTTGGTCAGGTCTAGCTGAGAAGAGTCGAGAGAAAGAAGGCAAGGCCAAATCCCCGGTCTGCCTGGGCAGAGTCAAGGAAGGGAGAGGGCCCAAGGAGCTTGGCTGCTGTTAGGGCATCTTTGGACTTTGTACTATCCCTGTATTATCTCTCTGAGGCAAGGGAATTTGAATTTCTAATCAGTTAACCTCCCATGCAGCACATCCTGTGTACTGTTGCCTTGGAATTTGTCGAATTCCCTTCCACTCCTGTCTGTGAAGATGGAAGAGATTTGTTCAGGGGAAAGATATTCACCCCTTCCCCTTCGCCTAAGGAGTTTATTTACTAAACAATCAGACAAGCAGGCACATGGTAGGCACTCAATAAATATTTTGTCAAGAGAATGCACAAATACATTTATAAGTGGAGACAGGGCTGCTCCCAGTTTGGCCTGGTGCTTCATCTGCTTGCAAAGAAAGGGATGGGAAGAACAGTAGAGTAGCAGTGGTGTTAGAGACCACGATGAGGAGAGAGTGCTCCAAAATAAAGAGGAGCTGGGGGGCGGGGGAGGGTTAGGAGAGGGAGGAAGGTGGAGAGGAGCCTGCAGCATTCCTGCAACTTCCTTAGGAAAAGAGGCATGTCTTTCTGTCTCTGGTGATGGTAGGCCTGGGGCTGCTTGGGGAAGCTTCTGAGCCTATCACCCTGGCTCTGTCTCCTGCAGCTGCTGCCCGAGCTTTCCCGATGGATCACATCCCCGATTCTAAAGGGGCGCCTCTTCCTAGTCTTTCATTCAGTCTGGGTTAAGTTGAAACACCAGATCTCAATTCAAAACACATTTGGGTCCCAGAACCTGAAGTTTGGGATGATCCTTGAAAGGTTATCTAATTTTTCCTTCTTGAGCAAAGACTCTCCACTGTTATGGGACAGCTGATATCTAGGGACGGGGTTAATGCTTCATGGTCATGGCTTTTGTCTGTCCTCCTGGCCAGAAAGCAAAGGAACTGAACTTTAATTAGTTCAGTCAGGATCAATCCTTAGTAACAGGAACCAGGCTCTGGCTGGAGACCAGAAGATAGCAGGTTCCTATCTCTTTCTTCCTCTAAAGTCCCAATCAGTTCTCAGATAACACTGAGCCTGCACTGTATTTCCAAAGCTGAGTCATCCAGAGGATAAGGCAGTGAAAGCCTGTTTTTGATGGCCTGAGGAGGTAACTCCTAAGATTATACATTTTAGGAATATTGAAG